ACTGCACATTTGCTGAACACATGAGTAAGTGAATAAATGAAATCTCCTTTAGAAAATTGCTGTGTCAGAGTGAGTGAGTTAGGTGGTGATAACAAAAGTTTTTACAAGGGAGGGACATCGTCCATGATGGGTGTGGTAATCAGAAAGGTTTAAAATTCTCACACTCAACAGAAACTGCATTTCAGCTGCTGTCGCTGTTTGGAGGAAAGTACTGCTGCTGCATTGACTCTCTGTTTAGTAACATGACCAACAAGAAAATAATTGCAGTGTTTGGAGCAACAGGTAAAAAGCTTCTTACTTTAAAAGTGTGTGCTGACTTGGGTTACTTTCTTGTTTTCCTGTTTTTAACTTCAGAACCTGCAAGCATAGATTGAACAAAGAGCCCTTTGGAGAAAATTGAGAAAAGTTTATCATTTGCTTGCATTTCTGATGTGGTAAAGGGGGCAGGGTGATTTGACTTGGTTTGTACAGAAATGATCTGTGAGGCACAAGGACATCGAACATATTCTCTTGTTCTTGATCATGGGCTGATTTGTTGGTGTAAGTCTCATTTCAGCACAAGTTATCTGCTACAGACTTTTCTCCACCCGCTTCCTGATAAGCACAAGGAGCAAATGTGAGCGGCCCATGGGCATGCAGAAGATACCCACATCCTGATCAGTGCTGGAAGGACTCTGAGAGGATGGAGTGGGTGGGGATTGCTGCTGCTAAGTCGCTTCAGTCTTGTCCGACTCTGCGACCCCATAGACGGCAGCCCACCAGGCTCCCCCGTCCCTGGGATTCTCCAGGCAAGAACATTGGAGTGGGTTGCCATTTCCTTCTCCAATTCATGAAAGAAAAAGTGAAAGTGAAGTCGTTCAGTCGTGTCCGACTCTTAGCGACTCCATGGACTGCAGCCCACCAGGCTCCTCCATCCATGGGATTTTCCAGGCAAGAGTGCTGGAGTGGGTGGCCATTGCCTTCTCCGTGGGTGGGGATTAGGAGAACACATGCCCGGACTTCTCTCATGCACAGCTGCCTGAACCTTGCCACTGGCATTTCTGCTTCCACTCTGCCTCCCTCACAATCTGTTCTCCCAACAGCTAGACCTATCTTTCCAAAATCTTTCAGTCAGGCTCACTCTCCATCTGTCAGTTCTCATTTCTGCCTTTTGATGATCTATTCGAAACTGTCAGATCATGGCAGGTCTCGGCTCAAAATCCCCCAACAGTGGCCCCCTACCTCACTCAAGTGAAATGAAAGCCCAACTCCTGGTCTGCAAGACCCTTCTCCCATTTCCTCCTCTGCCATTCTCCCTCTCTCACTCTGCCTGCTCCTCAAACACACTCCCAACTTAAGCCCTTTGCACTGGCTGCTCCCTCAGCCTAGAATAATCTTCCTTCCTTCGTCACCCACGATGCTCTCTCTCTCATGTCTTCCAAGCCCTCTCCATGACCGCTCTCCAGACTTCCTTTTTCAAAATGGCAACTTCACTCCACCCTGCCACCTGACAGGTGACCCTGTCACCCTCCCGTCTGACTCCCTTCCTGCTTGATTTCTTCCTTTACCACCTTCTCTCCACACTACGATAGAAGCTCTATGAGGACAGGGGTTTTGTCTGAAGGGAGGCAAGTGCTAAAGTGGGGAGAAAAGAGAAGTAAATTCTCAAAAACCAACAGCCATGGGCTTCCCAGGTGGCTCAGTGGTAAAGAATCTGTCTGCCAATGCAGGAGACACCAACCAGTTCAATCCCTGGTTTAAGAAGAACCCACATGCTACAGAGCAACTAAATTCACTTGCTGCAGCTGCTGAAGCCTGTACCCTCTAGAGCCTGTGTTCCGCAACAACAGAGGGCGCCAAAATGAGAAGCCCTCATACTGCAACCAGAAAGTAGCTCCTACTAGCCTGGACTAGAGAAAGCCCACACAGCAGGGAAGACCCAGCACAGCAGCTCCCCACACTGCCCCCAAAACAACCCCAAGAGCAGGTATGACACTGACTTTAAAAGGAAACAAAAGGTAATCAGATGAGGGGATGATTGTATATCATATTAGGGCAATAGTATTGTTGGTTTTTCCTGAAAGAGAGAAGTCACTGAAGGGTTTTGAGCAGAGCTGTGACATGATAAGACTTGGTGCTAAAGTGTCCTGTTGACATCTGCTTGGTGAAGAAGCTGTAGGGGGCAAGGGCTGAAGCAAGGAGACTTATGAGGCTGTTGCCCTAAACCAGGCCTGACTGACAGTGGCTTGGACTAGGGAGTGGTCAGATTCCTAATATGTTTGAAGGAGCATTGACTTGGTTCCCTGATGGGTCAGATATCAGAGGGAAGGAATGACTCCTAAGTGTTCTGGCTTGAGCAACTGAAAGAATAAAGTTGCGATTCACTGAAATGGGAAGGACCTGGAGAGAGCAGGTCAAGACAGGTCAGGAACTCTGTTTTAGTCTCTCTACACTTGAGTTGCTGCCTAGGCATTCAAAGTAGGACTGTGAGAGCCTTGGGAGTGGCTCCGAAAGGAATCAGGTTAGATGTGTTAAAGTTGAAGAAAGTTGACTTGCAGTTGGCTGAGGAGGTGTGCTGATTGCTTTACCGCCCAGTTTTAATCCTTCGTTCAATAACCTTGGAGTTGTGGGTGTGTGTTTGGGGATTTGGGGAAGGGTTACTAGATTTGGCAAATAAAAATACATGATGCCTAATTAAATGTGATAGGGAAAGTGTTAACCCTTACTTGTGTATGCGTTTGAATGTCAAACTCTTGAGCATCATCTCCAGTGTCTGCCATTAAAATGCTACTCTCTACATGGACTCACCTTCAAGGGAGCAAGGCCAATATGGTTGAATTCATCTCCTGGTTTGAGTCTTAATGAGACATTAAAGTGGGTGTGATTAGGAGAGCCAGTCCTGGTTTTGGTTCAACTCCTCTTATTTTTTCATACCTGTCCATATCGCTTCCTTTTCCATTTTATGTGGGTCCAGGCAAAGACTGTCCACCTGAAAGCTGAGAATGCAGAGCACAGAGGTTTCATTATTTGTACTTCCTTCATTCACTCATTCTTTCATTCAATAAACAGATATTGAAAGCTTGCAGTGTTCCAGGCACTAATCTCAAAACATGATTAGCAAACAGGGATAAAGAGTAAAACAGTTTGTCTTCAAGGTGAACTTTAAGTTACAGTTCAGTTATAAGGAAATAATTACAATGGTCAGTGTTTTGAGTTGTACCATGTCCCTCCCCAAATTCATATGTTGAAACCCTAATCCCTAGTATCTCTGAATGTGACAGTATTTGCACATATACAATGTGTTATTCTATTGTTAAAGAGGTCATTTAAAGAGTTGGTTCTGTTAAAGTGAGGCCATGAGAGTGGGCCATAGTCCAATCTGACTGCTGTTCTCATTAGAAAAAGGAAGTTTGACCCGGAGACATGTGGGGCTCAAGTACACACAGGAAAGACCACTTGAAGACACAGTGAGCAGCCTCTCTTTTTACAATCCAAGGAGAGAGGCTTCAGGAGAAATCAAGCCAGCCGAGGACATCTTTTTCATGGACTTCTGGCCTCCAGCGGTGTGAAAAATATGGGTTGTTTAAGCCACCATTCTGTAGAATCTTGTTATGGCAGCTCTAGCAAACTAATAAGGTCAACAGATTTTTTTAATTGAATTTTAATTTTTATAGATACTGCATTTCAGAAATAGTGTTCTCAATGTAATATCTTTGCCAATCTCTGAGGATATTAATTCTTTAAAAATTTTCTTCTGTTCCCTGCCTTTTTTTATCTTTTCTTTTTTTTTTTTATCAGTTTGCTTATTTTGGTTTTACCTTTTATGTTGGAGGCTTTCCTTGAACATCTGATGAACTTTGGCTATCTGTTCATATTCAGTACAAGAGTACAAAACTGGCTAAGGGTCCAAAGGCAAAGCCCACTGAACGGCAGGCTGACAGGATCATCAGTGGTCTATCAGTTGGGGTACCCCCAAAAAGAAGTGCCACACTCTCTCAGAGAAGTTGAGAAAATTTAGTAAAGATGGGAAAGAACAGAAAGACTAAGTAAGCAACACGAAAGGACCAGAGGACAAGAGAGATGACCAAAACCTGGAAGAGCAGCAATGTGAAGGGGTCACCTCTGCTCCAACCCTTGGGTCCCCTGTTGATGCACTCCTCTGGCCAGACCCAGACTGAAGGCAAAAGAGCCCACTAATGGAGTCCATAGAGGGCAGCCTCTCAGGGTGCTAGGCAGGAGAGAGAAGGGAAGGTGCATTTTGAACCACACACACACAAAATTCAGGACCGATATGGGACCAGTTAGATGCAGGATCCCAAATATCAGTGAATGTGTAGAGTATGTGGCATCCCCCATAGGACACAGTAAACATTTGTAGAGTGGATAAATCAGGTGAGTGATGATCATATCATGAACAGTCCTGAACACCATAAAAAGAAACTTCTGCAAGTTTTCAACCTTTTAAAAAAAATAATAGATTAGGAACTTCTTTTGAAAGTAAAATTCTACTAAGAACCTAAAAAATGAAACCTGTGACCAGTTAAGGCTTCTGTTGCAGCTCAGATGGTAAAGAATCTGCCTGCAATGTGGGAGACCCAGGTTTGATTCCCGGGTTGGGAAGATCCCCTGGAGAAGGGAATGGCAACCCATTCCAGTATTCTTGCCTGCAAAATTCCATGGACAGAGGACCCTGACCAGTTAAAAGTAGAATTGCTTAGTGGACTCTGAGGTGGAGGGTCTAGTCCCCTGCTCTCCTGGCCTCCCAGTTGCCTCCGGGCCCCCCATTCTTTCTCTCCTCCATGGCTTCTGCTAAGCTACCTCTGAGAACGCTGTGAGAAACCCAATTTGAAACCACTCTTGCAAGCCATGGGAATGCCTCCTGAAGCAGTTACAGCAGCAGTTTTACTCTGAGTAATGGGATTCCCTGCCCAGCTTCTTTTAGTGAACATTCTTCCTGATTCTTTCTGTATTTTTTCTCCCCCAATTCTGCAGGAGCCCAGGGCGGCTCTGTGGCCAGGGCCATGCTGGAGAGCAAAAAGTATGTGGTGAGAGCGCTGACTCGAGACGTGACCCAACCAAAGGCGCAGGTGCTCCGGGACCTTGGGGCCAAGGTGGTTAAAGGGGACCTGAATGACAAAGCATCGGTGGAGGCTGCCTTGAAGGGAGCCTATGGGGCCTTCCTGGTAACCAACACCTAGGAACATTTCAGCAAAGAGAAAGAAGTGTGTCAGGTGGGAACCACCTTCAAAAGCCCTTTCTTTTTTCCTGCCTGCCCACGCTGCCCTCCCTGGAAGAGGGTGGGCCTCACCCCATCACTTCTCTCTGGCATTTATGAAATCCATGTGCTTCAGATCGATTGTTAGGTGATTGTAAAATCAATGTCATGTGACATCTGTCTAAAGGTGACCTTGGAGATCTGAGAGTGGTCATGTAGTGGAGCCAGTTATTAGAGCCTCTGATCTTACCATTTGTTATAGATGGCATGTGAGGGTTGGCAGCAAGGACATCCCATGAATTAAGATTACTCTGAGAGTGAAATGGGAAGAACAAATGTAAGGACTATGTTTAGACTTCTGGCAGAGAATTTGGAAATGAATTAGCAATGGGTACATAAGAAAAGAAGTGAGCAAACAAGCAAATGAGCCACAAGGATGAACTCCAGGGAAAATGAAAATTTGTAGAAAAAGTGAATGTGACCATAAAACAGGTGAAGCGTGGCTCTGCTTCACCTTTGTTAGCCCTGATGAATGATGCAGCTCCAAATATGATATTCTGAGGATGAAAAAAAGGAAGTTGTGTATGTATATGATGGTTACAGTGGTGGTAGGCTGTGTGTGTGAGAATACTGTTGTGCTCGGTTGTTAAGACGTGTCCAGCTCTTTGCCACCCAGTGGACTGTAGCCCACCAGGCACCTCTATCTAGGGGATTTTCCAGGCAAGGATACTGGAGTGGGTTGCTGTTTTCTTCTCCAGGGGATCTTCCCTGACCCAAAGATCAAACTCGCTTCTCCTGCTGCATCTCCTGCATTGCAGGCGGGTACTTTACCGCTGAGGCACCAGGGAAGCCCATGTGAGAGAGACAGAGACATTGAGAGAGAGAGAGAGAGAGAGAGAGAGAGAGAGCTGAAGATGAGGCTCATCTGTCATAGTAGAAATTTACTGGATGATTTCTTAAACTGTGAAAAATCAAGAATTAGCAGTAAAACATGTTATTTAGAAATAAAGAAGCAGCTAAAAGGTAAAAATGAGCACGTAGAATATTATTGGGCATGAGCCCATAGAATTTCTGGAAAGTAGTTATCACCATGGGAGGTACAGGGGACTTTTCTGTCATTATAAAATCTACTTTCCCCCCAACCATGCCAGTACTATTTGCAAATTATACATATGTTTAAATAGAAAATATGAAGATTAGATTTTTGTAATGTAATGGGTGGGATCGGACTTTTTCAGAAATGGTAAAATTCAAAAAATTAAGAGCAGGATTGAACCATTTTAGGAATGTCTGTTAATTACATCACTTACAGCTTGTCTTTAAGTGATAAATTTAGGAAGGGCTTATTTTAGGAACTCTTGAGTTCTAATTCTGATATTCACTCACTGTGGAATGTAGGGATACAAATCATTTCTCTGTCTTTTTTTTTTTTGTATTTTTCTTTCTCTTTTATTTTTATTTTTCATTTATTTTGTCTTACTTTCTCAACCTAAGCCAGATTAGTTATGTCTTCTCTGTCTGGTATGGGGTTTTGTGAGGAAAAGAAGGAAAAAAAAAAAGAGAGGGAGTGGAAGGATGAAGGAGCTTTGAAAAATTTGGAACTAAAACTACAAAAAAGGAAATATATGTACATCCATGCATGCTTGTATGTGTGTGTGTTTATAAAAACCAATTATATGTATATCTCCCTCCATTTTGCCCTCTGTATCCAAATGGTGAGCAGATATAATCTATCATCAGAAAACATCTCACACTGCTTTCACAGGTATCCCTGAGCCTCTTATATATGTATATATAATGCGGTAGTGGATCACAGAGTTACGGACAACCCAGAGGCAGGGGCCGATTCCTTACTGTTTGCACCAGAAGATGGGTTCAGCATTTTGACACAGTGGAGCCTCTGCTCCTGGATCCTGGTGGCCTCCCCTATGATCTGAGGCTGGGAAAGCTCCCCTCCAAAGAGGACAATAAGAGAAAGGGGTGGGGGGCGAGTAGAGGACCCAGCACTAGCCCCTCAGTCTGCATGCAAATTCAACCTTCTCTATAAGGCGTCTACCTTTGTCCCTCAGGGAAAAGTGGTGGCTGATGTTGCCAAGAGCCAGGGTCTAAAGCACGTGGTGTACAGTGGCCTGGAGAACGTCAAGCGCCTGACAAGCGGCAAGCTGGAGGTGCTACACTTTGACGGGAAGGGAGAGGTGGAGGAGTATTTCTGGTCCATTGGTGTTCCCATGACCAGCATCCGAGTGGCAGCTTACTTTGAAAACTTTCTTGGCCCATTCAAGCCGGTGAAGGCCTCTGATGGAGATATACACCCTGGGTATGTGGAGGGTTGTAGTGAAACTAACCTGACACCAGCTTTCCCCCTGCCCAGCCCCCATTCCCACCCTTCCTCTCTTCACATGCCATCCAAGTGCCCGCTGTGTGGTCAGCTCTGGGTGAAGTGCCGACAGGGGCCCTGCGTTGTCCTAGATTTCCTGGAGAGCTGGATCTTGGGCTGGAAAAACCAAGGATTGCACTTCCTGTCTCATCCAACTGATGCTCCTCATATAAGCAGTGAGCCACGTGGCCTCAGGCCTCAGTTTCCCCACGTCTAATAGGAAACTTGGACAAGACGACTTTCCTTTCTAGCTCGTCTCTCTGCCCTTCTGTGGCCACAGGGAACACATTCTTCTCTTGACCTGGATCCCAGGGTCAGAATCCTGAGAGGGCCCATGGCCATACCTCCCTGAACGCACCTGAGCTTGTCCGATCTAGGAAGCTAAGCAGGGCCGGGCTGGTTAGTACTCGGATGGGAGAATCCTGGAGGGACACTGACTCTCTCAGAATGAGTTTCCAGCCCTGCTTGCAGAGCCTGGTTCCATAAGTCTGGTCTGGGGCCTGCAAGACTATAGTTCTAACCAGGACTCCTGGTAATTCCAATGCTGCCAGTCCCCTGGCCTGCACTCCCCTGCCCTTTGGGGACATTTTCTTTGCTCATAGTCCAGGGTGGCTCTGTGGAATGGAGGGAGTGTGAGAGAATCAGTGACTGCAAGGCAGTCTTTCTTCCCTGGCACGTAATTAAGACTGATCAGGGACATAACTAGTGGCAAAGTAGATCTGAGCTAGAGCCTGGAGCACCTGCCACATGTCACAGATGACTTGGGTAATAGTTCAACAAGTGACCAGATAAGTGTATAAATGTGATACATCTCTTCACCCCCCTTCCCTTCTTCCTCTACCAGGTTTCAGAAGCCTGCACCCGTGACATTTTCCAGGTTTTAAACTAGGATATTATAATCTATGAATTAGATTGGCCCTAGGTGAAGAGGTGATGCTTTAAACTTTTGCTGGTACCCAGTCCCATGTGAGTTCCCAACATCTGTAAAACCCAGCCTCAGGTATCCCTGAGATCTCGTCCTCTCCCTTCCGTCAAGCACCGCCCCCTCCATAGGGAATAGCTCCCTGCCACCGCATCCCCCCCCCCCACCATAGGGAATATCTAACATTTACCGAGGACTTACTGGGTGTTTGGTGTTTGGTGTTTGTTTCACAGATGGGAAAACCGAGGCACAGATAGATTAGATTAACTTTGCCAAGATCAATAGTAAGGTAGAACCAGAACTTGAATTCTGGTAATCTGACTCCAAAACCGTGCTCTTTAAATGGAAAAAAAAAAAGAAAAAAAAATTTTTTTTTGGTCACACCATGAGGCAAGTGGGATCTTAGTTCCCCAACCAGGGATTGAAATCATGCCCCCTGCAGTGGAAATGCAAAGTCTTAACCACTGGACCACCAGAGAATTCCAGAACCATATTCTTTTTTTTTTTTTGCAGTCAATAAGAAATTTACTTGTTTTAAAAAAATCCAAATGCCGGCATTGTCCAGAAAAATTTAACAGATTTATAATTGTTATAAAGTTGAACTGCTGAAACTTGTTCACTGAAACATTTTCACATTCATTAATGCTTTATGTCCTGCATTTATATTAAAAATTCACACAGAAATGAAAATGGAAAAACTGCCAATACCTGATTTCTGTCCCCTATTTTTCCACTTGCAATCATATACTTAGGTACCTTTTGACCCCCTGGAAAAATATATCTAACGTTCAGAACTACCAATAGCAGGAAGAAGAGAATTTTTCTTTTTTTAAGAATGAAATGTTTACCATCTTAGTGGATTCTTGAGCACGTTCTCCACGTATGCGGCATGCTAGCTGGATGTCGTTTGGCATAATTGTTACACGTTTGGCACGGATAGCACACAGGTTGGTGTCTTCAAAAAGGCCAACAAGATAAGCCTCACTTGCCTCCTGCAAAGCACCAATAACTGCACCCTGGAAGCGCATATCTGTTTTGAAGTCCTGACCAGTTTCCTGCACCAGATGCTGGAAGGGAAGTTTGCGAATCAGTGGACTTCTGATAACGTCTCATTTCACCGAGCGCCACAGTACCAGGCCTGTAAAGATGAGGTTTCTTCACCCCTCCAGTAGAGGGCGCACTCTTGCGAGCGGCTTTTGTAGTGAGTTGCTTCCTCGGTGCTTTACTGCTGGTTGATTAGCTTACATTCGAGCCATGGTATAGAGACCGTCTTACTTAACTCCTCCTCCTTTGGCTGGAGCTAGGAGAGCTAAAGGAGACGCTGGCCGGCTGCGAACAGAATTCCAGAACCATATTTTTTTTATACCACTGTCCCTTAGCACCTTTTAAACTAGGTCCAAGAACCTCAATCTTCAAATAAAAGCAAACCTCAGAGTCAGAATAGACTTGATTCTGAGTGCCTCAAAAAACAGAGACTGCTTTTTTACAATTATAATTTATAATTTATTTATATTTATAAATTTATAATTTATATATTTTATAATTATAATTTATGCAGAGGAATGAGCAGACATATTTCCTACCCAGAAATCAGGTAGGAAGTTAATTTTGCTGCAAAAAGACAAATTGTGACATTTAGTTCCTGGCTGCTAAACCTTAAGTCACTTTTACACTGGGCTGGAATTCAGAGACCTTGATTCTTGTCCTGGCCTGTTGTTTCCTAACTGTAAGGCACTGGGTGAGTCAGTAGACTTAGATTCTTCAGTTTAAATAAATGACAGTGCTGGGGCTAGATCACGTCCACATTGGGTTCCAGCCTCAGGAGTGTGGGCTTCTGGGAATCTGTGAGAGGTTGTACCCACCTGTAGGAATGGCACAGAATTCGGAGTGATGGATGAGGGCTTGAGTTCCCTTCTGCTGCTTGCTGGCTGAGTAACCTCAGGCAACTCCCTGATATTCCTATGTTTCAAGGTTGTTTTGAGGATTAAACCAGCCAATATGTTTGCTAATGATTTCATTCAATAAATATTTGAAGGCCTCCTACGTGCCAGTCACTTACTTCGCTTTACTGGGGATTCAGTAATAAACCACTCAAAGCAGACAAAGCTCTGCCCTCATTAAGCTCATATTCTGGTCAAGGAGGTGGATAGCAGAGAAGCATAATAGAGAAGTAAAATGTGTTATATGTTGGAATGTGATAAGTGCTCTAAAAAATAAGGCTGAGTAAAGTGTATGTGGAGTGTTAGCACATAGCGTGGTGTATGAAATTTAAATTCGGTGATTGGTGGGCTTCTTTGAGAAGGTGACATCTGAACAACTTCTGGTAGAGGTAAGTAACTGGCTTTGTGAATATTCGGGGGAAGACATTTTCAGGCAGACGAAACAGCCAGTGTGGTTGGATCGGAGCAGGTTGGGGGCCTGGGGAGAGGGGAGTAGGAGGTGAGGCCAGAGGTGGTAGAAGGTCTGGTCCTGTGAGCCATGGCTTTTCTTCTGAGAGACACAGAGAGCCACTGGAGGGCTCTGGGCAGATATGACATGAGCTAACCTTAGTTTTTACAGAATCACTCTGACTTTTGTGTTGAAAAGAGACTGTGGAAGGGCAGGAGTAGGATTGGAAATAAAGGGCCCAACTTTGCAATAATCCAAGTCAGAGGTGATGGTGGCTTTGTTGTTCAGTCGCTGAGTTGTGTCTGACTCTTTGCGACCCCATAGACTACAGCACACCAAGCTTCCCTGTCCTTTGCTATCTCCCAGAGTTTGCTCAGATTCATGTGCATTGAATTGGTGATGTCATCTAACCATCTCATCCTCTGCCACCTTCTTCTTCTCCTACCCTCAATCTTTCCTAGCATCAGGGTCTTTTACGAGTTAGCTCTTCTCAGATGGTGGCTTAGACTAGGGTAATACCAGTGAGGATGGCAAGAAGTCTTCAAATTCTGGACACTATGAATATGACTACAAAAAAAAAAAAAAGGATCTGGGATGGGAGACACATGTCAAGGTTGACTCTAAGAGTTTTAATTTGAGAAACTGGAATCATAGGGTTGCCGTTAACTGAGAAGGAAGTTTGTAGCAGAAGCAGGTTGTCCAGGAATTCATTCTGGGGCCCACTGAGTTTCTAATGTCTATTAAACATTCAAGTAAGGATGTTGAGTAGGACGTGGGACAAATGCATCTGGAGTTCCACAGAGATGTCGGGGTTAGACATAACAATTAATCATACTTTGCACAAAGAAGATGCTTAGTAAATGGTAGTTCTTTTTTTTTTTAGTCAATACCCAGGTATTATGATATTTTCTCAAACAAACCTTATAACTGCATGGATGGTAGCGACTCAGTGTTACATGGTATTCCCATACCTTTTATTTAACTGGTTGATTAATTCAGATTGATGGGACCTACCAAAGGTGTGATGTAATTAGCTATTTTTATCTTTTTATTTTTTAAACTAGCACTGCCTATGGGGGATGTACCAATGGATGGTATCTCGGTTGCTGATATCGGAGCCATCGTCTGCAGCATCTTTAATTCTCCAGAGGAGTTTGTAGGCAAGGCCGTGGGTCTCAGTGCAGAAGCGCTGACTGTGCAGCAGTATGCTGATATTCTGTCCAAGGGTTTGGGGAAAGAAGTCCGAGATGCAAAGGTGAGTTTTTAAGAGACATAAACATGATCACAAGAGGTCACATTCCCACTAACTTACAAATTCTGGGAGACTTTTCACAGATTTGGGCAGGTTTGAGCTGAGGCTGTCGGAAGACATTGGAGAGGATTCCTGTTCTATGAATCTCTCTTCATCTGTTGGTGCATCTGAATCCTAACCTTAAGACTTTATGCTTTGGCTTCAGGTTAATCAGCTTATTAAAGTACAATTCCTTCTGGGTGGAAAGAACTTAGACTCTGAAGACCAAGGTACAACGTTCTCATATACACCATCCCATCCCTCCCCTCCCAGGGACTCATCGCTGATCAGGCCAGTGTGCCAGAGTTGGCCAGCATCAGGCAAGGCACTTAGCCTCTCTGAGCTGTGGCTTCCTCACTCACAAAGTGGCTGGAGCATCTTCCTGGGGCATTTTGTGAAAATTAGGGTATATTTAGGGAGCTTAGCCTAGTGTTTGGCATATAGCAAGCACATCTCAAGGACCTGTTATATACCTGGTGCTACCTTTGAGGACTTCGCAGCAGAGTTGGGGTGAAAATTCTCACACGCAAGAAGTCACAGTGATCAGACAAGAGCAGAACGTTGTGGTGCTTGGTTGTGTTGCCCACACTCTCTGCTCTATGGGTGGTCAGAGAGGGTAGGACAAGGCTTCACGGAAGGAGTAGCTTTGAGGTGGTCCTTGAGTCTGGGCAAGACTGGGTATGGGTGGAGGGAGCAATGGGTGGCCTGACTAAGTTCTAGAATCAACAGGAATAAACTGGAGGCAGTCTGGGGAAGTAAGCAAGTCCTGGCTCTGCCCTTATCCCTCTGGGGGCTCTTGAAAAGTTACTTAACTTCTCCATAGTTGTGTGTGCGTGTTCAGTCATGTCTGACTCTTTGCGACCCCCTGGATTGTAGCCTGCCAGGTTTCTCTGTCCATGGGGATTCCCGAGGCAAGAATATTGGAGTGGGTTGCCTTTCCCTTCTCCAGGGGATTTTCCTGACCCAGGGATTGAACCCATGTCGCCTGAATCTCCTGCATTGGCAGGCGGATTCTTTACTACTGAGCCGTCACCGCCCCCGCCCCGGAAGCAGACTTAACCTCTCCAGCCTTCCTTTGTTTATATGTTAAAGAAGATTATCACACCTGCCATAGGCTTGTTGTGAGGATGTGGTGAGACCCATGTGGGAAAGGCTAGCATTGGGTCTGGCATTTAGTAGCCCTCGATAACTAACTGGGTTGGAATGGCCTGGGCTTGAGTGTGGCCATGACAGACCTTTTATAGAGAAGTGAGGGCAGTGGTTCATCCTGAGTGCTTCCAGCCATTTCTCCAAGCGTCTGTTGTCAGAGGATGGAGAGAGAACAGTGTTTCTGAGAAGGAAGTGTGTGTCTGCGTGTGCCTGGCCTGGACACCGTCACAGCTGAAAGGAGGACCCTACCTTCCCTCAACCTGGCAGGCATCAACTAACATGGCTGTTTGCCTCTCCTGGATGCTGTTCTCCCATCTGTGAAAGGAGAGTGTAGTCTGGATGGTTTCTCAGGTTCTGCCCAGCACTGACATTTCTCCGGAGTAGTAAGAGTCCCTTTTTACAGAGTTCGAGTCTGCTTTTGTAAATTAGGATTGATTAGAACACACCCCCACTTTTGTTTGTGTATTGCCTCTGGCTGGTTTCAGAATACATTAGTAGATCTGAGTAGTTCTAGACAGTAGTTCTAGTAGTAGTGATAGAGACCATATGGCCAGAAAGCCTTAAATATTTATATCTAGACCTTCATGAGTAAGTTTGGTGAACCCTGCTCTAGAATGTTTCCTAGAGTTAGGGGCAGAGGGTTGGTTTTCGTTTTCATCTGCAGCTCTTGGGCCAGTGAATCTTGAGAGGCTATCTAGACTCCAGTTCACCTCAAGTACTGGCCCTGTGAGAAGGCTGGCAGATATTTTCGGGAGAAATTATTGTAGGTATCAATCCAGCTATAAAACCATGTTTGGGGATCTCACTGAAAACCACACAGATTTCATGGAGAAACTGTTACTCCCAAGCCCAAGAAGTCACCACTCATTCAAAAGATGGTGAGAGAACATCTTTTGTTCTTATGAGAACTTCTGCAAAGTCATCTATCCCTGGGTGCAAATTTGCTATTTAGTGACTGACCCCTCTCCCAGTGCTTTGCGTATTCATCTTGTATTCATTTTGTCTGTGGGGTCTGAACTCTACAAAGAAGGGGAGGAAGGTGAAGAATGTGGGCGTATGGTGTGTGTGCATTCATTTCAGAATACCAGGTAGACATTGTTTGGGATGGCTCAGGATTGTCCAAGCGTCTCTCAGTCACATACCTGGTTTCTGACAGCTTTGGGTACAAGTTGTTTCGCGATGCAGCAGAAACTTCTCTGGCACACAGAATTTTATGGGATTGGAAGCTGGAAGTTCTACAGAATGGTTAATGCTGTTCTTAGAAACGAGCTTGACTTAAAGCCACTGGTGCTGGTACGGTACTCTGGGGAAGGACGCATGTGGCCACAAGGTGGCGCTCCAGCCCTGGCGGTCTGACTTTCTCTGTCTGGTCAGAAGGTTGCTGTTTGCTTCAGCGACTACCCCCTCACCCCAACCCCACTCCCGAACTCCCCAGAATAAACTCCCATCAGAAACTCTGATCTGGCTGAAACTGTCTGTCTAACCCCAAAAGGGACACTGTTCTCTCAGAAAAGTGAGACACAACAGAGCAAATCTCTTTTCTTAAAAACCTGCAGAAAAGCATCCCTTATTTTCCTGAGGGATATTAGTTACCAAAGTTACAGGATGAGAGAGTAACTCAAGGGGACAGATATTTTAGAAGTCATCTTCCATGCTTCTCTGATAGTGTTCTATTTTCAAACTCACTAAAATTTAAAAATGTTTTCTGATTTCAAAAATTATAAATGCTTACGGCAGAAAATACAGAAAATTATTTTTAAAAAGAATATAAAAGTCACATTGTTTAATCTATCAGAGATAGTAACTGTTAAGATTTGTACATTTTCTTCTGGTCTTTTTCAGTATATATGTAATAAAATTAAAACAACATGCTATGTACCATTTTGTATCTGGCTTTTTCACTTGACATTAAATTATGAGCATATATTTCTATTTAACTTTTTAAAAAATATTGACTGCATAATATTTCTAGAGTAGATGTACCATAGTTACCATAGTTTATTTTACCATTCCTCTATTTTTTGGATATGCAGATTGTTTTTGATTTTTCATTACTATAAATGGTATGACAGTCATTGTTTTATATGAGTTTGCACCTGTCACATTATTCTAAGGCCAGGTAGAGGTTAGAGTTTTCTAAATGACAGTCATTGTTTTATATGAGTTTGCACCTGTCACATTATTCTAAGGCCAGGTAGAGGTTAGAGTTTTCTAAGTGAGGTTAGAGTTTATCGCTGGAAACTAAAATCTGATTATATTGGATCCAATAGTTAGAAATGTTCTTAATGGGAATCCCATGGTGGTTCAGTAGTTAGGGCTCTGCGCTTCTGCAGGGGACAAAATTTTGATCCCTGATCAGGGAAGAAAGATTCTACATACCATGTGGCATGGCCAAAAAAAAAAAAAGAAAGAAGGAAAGAAATGGTCTTAGTTGATGCAGATGGCGTCTCTGCAGATCCACTTAGTGTTTTTTCAGAAGGGTTTTTCAGAGGGTGGCTCAGTGGGTATGTGACGGGCAGTGTTTGTTGGGCCTGGCCCTGGCAGAGGCTGCATGGCTGAAGTTCAGATGCTTGTTTCCAATCAGGAGGGAAGGATGGAGGGCTTGATGGGCTGAAGATATTGAAGGCATGCTAAGGAATCCCAGGAGGAAATGTATATGAAAACCAGTCAGATGAAGGGGCTATATATCCATGGTACCTTATCCCAAGTGCTTGCGGCCAGAAATAATTCAGCTTTCAGAGTCTTGCAGCTTTTAAATGGGTTATGTCTACACACACTATGTGACATCACCATCAGGGGCTGGGACAGGACCCTATAACCAAACATATCAATATCTCTGCAGAGAAAGACAGGGCAATTTCCACTAAACAGGATGAAGACCATAAATAACTTCTCTTAAATTTAGATAAGGTTTTGCCCCCAAATTAGTTCAGGAAAGTCAGTACGTTGCCAAATTGCTTATGAAAAAAACTTCAGTGTTTCTTGGGTCTTGGGATTAGGCAAAAGAATTGTGGATTTGTATCATCATGAAGGTGAACAAGTTCTTTTCAAACTGTTTAAAATGAGGGCTATAACATTTCTTGTTGTTTCTTTTCTTTCTTTCTTTTTTAACTTGTTCTTCAAAGATCACCCCAGAGGCTTATGAGAAGCTGAAATTCCCTGCAGCAAAGGAAATGGCCAACATGTGTCGTTTCTATCAAATGAAGCCAGACCATGACATCAAGCTCACCCACCGACTGAATCCCAAAGTCAAAAGCTTCAGCCAGTTCATCTCAGAGAACCAGGCAGCCTTGAAGAACTTATAAACTGTTCACACAGACCTCTGAGAACACAGTGTTATTCCTCCCAGGTCCTGGTCTTCTTTATAGCACTAAAACTATGTTTATGGAACAGATAGCTTAGAATACAGTTGTTATGCCCTGAAGGCTTCCCTGGGTTGGGAGCAGGGCGGGGGTGGGTGGGTGGTAGGACACTGCAGAGCTGATTGACGCAGTAATGTGACCCACATGTAATGTTCCAGCTGCTACTAAACACAGTACACCTGTCAGGTTAGGTGAGAAGCTCCCAGCCTGACACCCTTTGTAGTTCTCTCTTCCCAACAGCCGCGTTGCCTTGGAAGTCTCTGGCCTGAGCAACTTGGAGCTCCTTCCCTCTCACAGATCAGTGGGGATGGGGGGACCCTCAGCTTTCTCCTTCATATATGACCTTGGTCACATATGTATGACTGTCACACCTGGAACTCCCCTAGACAGCTCCAGTTTTTTCAAGCGCATTGTCACATTCTCCGTGAGGTTTTAAGTGATCTTAATTTTCTTAAAAATCTTTGTAGAGGGTCTTCTGGGGAACTTGGTGTTCAGTGAACAAGTGCTGGCAATGTAAATTCAGTTTTGCTTCAAGGTTGGAAGCTCATCTCTGATTGTCGTTAAATCAGCTGTTGAATCGTTACTCAGTTGCTCGTCTCTTCCTTCACCTGCCCCTCACTTACCCACCCCCCCGCTTTCTTTTCAGCACCAGCACCAACGGTACATCTGTAGGCCCTGCTCCCCTCCTGTTTTTTGCTGGAGTGGTTCACTCTCCAAAGGCTGCCATGGCCCCTTCTCAGTTTGTGGTTGGGGTTGTGCCATGTGAGGGCAAGAGGGGGGCTATGTCACTGCTTAGCGACAAGTGAAGCCCAGAGCCTCTGTCTGCAGTGGGTATGGTCCAGGAGCTTGAGACAACGTCTGGCCAAAGGTAGTAAAGTGGAAAAAGAAGGTGGTGGAAGTGCCCCCATGGAGTCTTTTTCTGTTTCTGGCTTAGCGTTTTTCTATCCCATATTGTAATTGTCTTGTTTACTAACCTTCCTCTCGGCTGTGAGAGACTTGGACCCCTTTTACCCCAGCACCTGGCACATGGTAGGCGATCAATACATGTTGATTGACTAAATGTGTGAATAAAGTTAACTGATCATACTGTTATAAGAAAAGGGAAATAAATAGGTGCACGGGCTAGGGAGTGGTGAGAACCAGCAACTGATACTTAAAGCGCAAGAGGTTGTCCACGTCCGGGAGTGGGGTTGACCCCTACTGCTCTGGGGCAGGTAGCAGATGGGGCTGAGCAAGGACAGGGTGGCGGTGACTGTGTGACAGGACGCAGTGACCGGGGACCTGGCTCAGAAGAGGACGCTCAGCAATGCCAAACGTCAGCCTTTCTGTCTCTTAAGGCATCCAGTAGTGTTTGTTGGATGAATGATGGAGGTTATTGCAGACAAATTTTGATTCTTAAGGGAAAATCAGTCACCTTGAGGACCATGCTCCTTTCTGAAGGGCACTCTCCTTATTCCCCAAGTGATCAACTCAATTTGGCCTAAGCTATCAACCCTGAGAAACGGGTCTGGATAAATTTCTAAAACAGGAAAAGAAAAACAAAGCCCTAAACTAAAAATAGGTGTCTTATTACTCATCTGGTGGGCCAGGCAGGAAGAATGGCCACTGCTTCCTAAATAAACCTCAGTATCCCCTAAGTGGAAGTGTCTGTAGGCCAGTGGGTCCCCTGGGCTCCCTGTGTGTTCACTGGGGTGGCAGGTTGGTTCTTCCAACCTTTGGGACAAGGCTAAGGTAACTCTGGGCCAGCCCCACTCTTGTTCCTGGAAAGCCCACGAAACCCATTCTGGGTCTAAAATATTTGTTTATTTAGCTGTACCAAATATTAGTTGCAGTACGTAGGATCTTTGATCTTTTTTGCAGCATTTGGGATCTTTAGTTGCGACATGCAAGCTCTTAGGTGCAGCATGTGGGATTTAGTTCCCTGACCAGTGATAGAACCTGAGTCCCCTGCATTGGGAGTGTGGAGTTTTAGCCACTGGACCACCAGGGAAGTCCCCTTTTGTGGATTTAGAAGCAAAGTTTACAGTGGCTGATCTGAAACGAATCTGCCTTTTAGAGATCTTGTTTGCATCTCCATCTCACACAATCAATAAAGGGAAAGAGCTGTTAACGTTGGTCTAAAACACTTTGACATTTGTGGACAGTAGATGAGGGACTCTACCACCACCCCTGCCCTTTTCCCCCTACGATCTCCAAGCCTACGGAAAGAAAAGCTTCCCTTCCAAGTTTCTCAGAGGAGAGACTTGGGGACCCACAAGACGCACAGCAGGTAGAAATGAGCTATGCACCACAGGAAATGCAACCATCATCTGTGGTCCAGGGAATGGGGTGGGTAGGGGTGAGGGTGGAGGTGCAGGGACAGAAGGGGTGCAGGGAGCGGTATCTCTCTGTGATTCTATAAATGTACCTAGAAACGTTGGCTATAAAGTCACACAATGCTGGGTTTGACTCCTGTCTGCGCCACTGACTAGCTGTGTGGATTTGGCTTCAGTTCCCCCATCCTCACAGGTTCCACTGGGCTCCGGCCACAAGATTAAAAGTGGGAAAGGCACTTTGGACAGTCCTGGGCAGATAGTCAGTGCTCAACAATTATTATTGAGAAAGATCCCTGCCCTCACCCGCTTTGGGTTTCCCTGGTGGCTCAGATGATAAAGCGTCTGCCTGCAATGTGGGAGATCCAGGTTCGAGCCCTGGGTCTGGAAGATCCCTTGGAGAAGGGAATGGCAACCTACTCCAGCATTCTTATCTGGAGAATTCCATGGACAGAGGAGGCTGGCGGGCTGCAGCCCACGGGGCTGCAGAGTTGGACATGACTGAGTGACTAACACTCACCTTCTTCATATAGCACTCTGAGTTCTGAGGTACCTATGGGGTACTCTGGGTCACGCCCTAACCTGCTCTGCACTGCTATGCCTCCTGGAGTGCAGACTCGTCTGGCTCTCCCCACCGTCTGCCGGAAGTCTGGTTCCTGCTGCCATCTCCCTTTCTCCACCACTAGATGGCAGGACGAGCCTAGCATCTAGCATGGGAAAGGGTCCCTGTAATCTCATCCAAGCTGGCTTCTTCACCAGCATCCATTCTCCAGCCCAGGGGACACTTCCAACGCTGATGTCCCACCAAACTGCACAAGGGACAGAGATGATTCCCCGAAAGGAATTCGGGGCACTGTTAGGAAAATTGAAGTGTCGATTGGGCCAAACACTGTGCACTCTCCAAAGCAGCTGTTCCCTGGCAAGAGTCAGCTCCTGGAGTCCTCGCAGAAGTCAGCAGGAAGGCAAGAGCATAGACTTTAAAACACCCCAGAGTATAAGCTGTTAGACTATTTCTGAAGGGCTGTTCAGTTAATGATTGCAAGAGGACTAAAAATTTGCACACCCTTTGACTTTGCAATGCTTCTAGGAAACTATTTTAGGTAAATAAACACAAATACAGATAACAATTAAATTTCCAGGATTTTATATGAAACTGTTGCTCATGAATGAAAAAATGGAAATAAGCTAAATGTTCAGCATTAAAGGAATGGATAACTTAATTATTGAATAGTTTTACAGTTCCCTTAAATTTTAAATTCTTAAAAGCTAGAATTTGTAAATAACTTTACTGGAAAAAATTATGTTTCAAGTGAAAAATGTTGGACTTCCCTGGTGGCCCAGTGGTTAAGACTCTGTTTCTAATGCAGGGAGTCCCGGGTTTGATCCCTTTTTGGCAAATTAAGATCCCATATCTGCACAGTGTGGCAAAAAAAGAAAATATTGTATGTAAAATAATGTTATACCTAGCTTAATTCCAGTTGTGTAAAGTATGCAAGTATATAGTAAAATATCAAGAGGAAAACCACCAGCACATTAAAAGTGGTTTTCATTGAACAGTGAGATTTTGGTTGGTTTCTACTTTCTCCTTTTAAGTTTTCCCTTTTTTCCAGGTTTCTGTAATTAAAATATGTTAATTAGACATTAAAATTTTATGTAAAAAAGTTCCTTTTAAAGTTTAACAAATATCATAGATGATCTTAATTCTTCCTTATGTTATGACAACTATAATAATTGTTATTTACTATATACTAGCCATTATGATAGGAGCTGTATGAACATTCTTGCACTAAATCTTTACACAAACCCTATAAACAAGATTATCTTCTCATTTTACAGATAAAGAAACATATTTTGAAGAGATTAGGTAATTTTTCCAAAGTCACACATTACTAGGTGGTAGAGCCAGGATTTAAATTCAGGTTTGTATGTATGCAAAGTCTGTGAGCTGTCCTGCATATCAGGACTTTGATCAATGCAATTCTCAACTTAAGAAAGAACTGGGTCATCGAATTCATTCAGAATTTAGTTGTTTGGAATTTGGGGCGTATTTTTCTCTTAGAAATACTGTCAATGCTAACTCGCAACACTATATAAAGACCAACCTCCAAAACTGGTGAAACCACATTTACTCATTTACTGTGAAACCACAACTTTTGATAAGGTGTTTCTTGCTAACCCTTTCTCCCAGATGTACAAGCAAGTGAATATTGAAACTAATATTGGGGTGAGGACGAGGCAGTACTTGGGGATGTCATGAAAAGGCTATCTCAAACTGTATGTGTGAAATAAGAGAAAGCAGACTCAAGGTGTGACCCAGGGTATAGCAAAAGCCACGAGGTCTGAATGGCTGACTGTGTGAAGGCATCCAGGATAGGAGGGGTGGGCCTAAGGGACAAAGCCCAGCCTGGAAACCTGGAAACCCTCAGGAGGGCTGGCTGCGTCAAATCCAAACGTTTCCTGGAGCCAGGCAGGTAAATTTATGAAGCAGCCAGATGTAACACAATAAAGGACACTGGAAACCACAGCAGTGAGAGCCTGGGTGACTCAACTACAGGGGTTTAGAATAGAATTTAGGAGAAACACAATGCCACCAAGCATCGTCGCTTCAACTGTTCCTAACATGATGGTTTT